GTACTTTACATGGCTCTTCTCTTTTACATTCAAATATAAATAAACCTCGTAGATTATATTTATTCTCTCTTAACTTAAATAATTTCTGAATACCAGAAGGAAGACTTTTGTTCAATGCTTTATACATSATTTCCAGTATTTTTATATAAACAACATCTTTAAATTTTAATATATTACTTCCAATTAAGAGTTTATCAATGTGTTCGCGATATCCCACTTTATATCCCGCCTTATAGCTTTTTTCTGCAACTTAATTTGCAGCTTGATTTGCCWCTAATGTTTGCTTAAATTTAAAGTTAAATAACACACAAGTCCTTTAATAAGATTATAGCCTTATTCAGCCTGTCCATTTATAAAGCTCAAACCTAGCATAAAGGTTGGTCATGAAATTATTGATCTACATTTTAAAAAGCTGCAAAAATTTTGTAAGTAAAAAAAAAAAAACCAAATAACAACCCAAACACCTCACTGTTGAATAGTATCAGACAGCATATTTTGAACAAGTTGGTTACTATGTTTGAAAAAAAAAAGGAAATTTGTTTCAGTCAATCACTGGTCCTTTAAATTGAGTATTGACTGCTGTTGGGGGTATGAGGGTCATTGATTTCCATGCCCGGGTGGGTCTAAATTGATCGCATCTGATACAGCTGGTCATGTGAGTGGACTCAAGAACCAAGCCTGGCTCTATACCCCTTTCTTTTGGGAGTCAAAGTCCTTACTTTCTACAAAAAAAAAGTGAGCAAAGAACAACAAAACCGTCATTCGCTCCACKAACATAGGTCGTTTGTTCTACTGACAAGGCTTTTTGTTGCACTTCAACATATTCAAAAAATTCTAATTGTTAAGAATGACATTTATGGGAACATGGCAAACATCAGCTACGTAACAAATCATTTTAATAAAAGATTTATTCGTGCCCGCCAAAGTCAGGATGAAGGACTGAGTGAGTTTTAACATGAGCTGGCAGCACAACACATCATAAACAACCAAACTGGATCCACCGGTCATAAACCATATAATTGATTTGCTGTATATGTACCGTGTGTGTGTGTTTAAGTGTGTGTGTGCACTGTGTGCACTGTATGACTACCAGAGTGGAGACTATATTTAGGGCAGTAAGAAGAGGACAGGCAGAAAGAAACAAACAAGAGAGCAGAGATCCAGAGGTCTTGTGTACCGTGATCAATCAGTGAGTAGAGTCACTGTAGCCAGGGGACAGAAAAGCATACCAACAAAACACACACACATACACACACATAAACACTATATACACAGAAATACATCACACAGAAAGAAAAGTAAACGCAAGCAAAAAAAGGCAAACAAATAAGCAACAAAGCAAAGAAGAAGAGCGCCACATGAAGCCTGAGTACATGCACATAGAACAGTAAAACATGTAGATTGAAAACTACTGATGAACTTGACACACACTCAAACCTGTGCACAATTTTTTAACTTTTCAGGGAGCCCAAAGTGTGCTGCATAGGCACAGCTTTGCACCTCAGCTGTTTTATGATTTGTATGCATCAAAGAGACACCAGCAGCGTGTAAATTTCCAGCAACAGTAATTTATGTGTGTGAAGCGCTAACCCCCTTGTTATGTTCACACTATTACTCCTGTCCCTTCAGCCTGAAACAAAAACAAGATAAGAGCCGAACTGCACCATGTATCAAAGTAATTCTGAAGTTTTCAGAGTCAAAACTAAAAGAATTGGTAAGAATCTTTAAACATTAAGAGCCTTGTAAAAAATAAATAAAATGAAAGAAGGAATCTTTGAGCCTTGCCCATCTCGGTCCACAGAACTTAGGAAATGTTCACACTGCAAGCAAAAGTGACCCAAATCCAACTTTTTTTCCCCCATATGCAACCAATTAAAAAAAATTATGATTAGAATGTGACAAATACCTTTTTTTTTCAATAAAACCCAGATCTTTCTTGTATGTTGTACTACATGCATACAGTATCTGATGTATTTTAAAGGGGCTGCATTTCATCTGACATTACATCATTGAGGTAAGGATAATTGATACAGTCATGCAGTTTAAAGCACAGAACTCTTCAGCAACAGAACAGAAATCCTGTCACTTTGTCTTTTTTATAGATTTATCATGTCCTGGAGGACTGAGAAATTACACTAGCATAGGATGCTAAAAATGGTATACCAAAGTATTGGATTGTATCAACGTTAGCATGATGGGATTGATACTTGAGTTTGTTTCATGCCTCTACTTTCAGTATGTTGCTCCCATTCCAGAAGTGCAATTCTGCACCTGAGTAAAACATTAAATGGAATAAGCGTGGCAGATAAAAATGTACTTGTCCTGATTGAACAACTTCAGAATTGACACACATGCTAACATGTGTAGCACTCATTACTTCTGTAAGCACAGTGTGAGGTCACGTCTTCTTCTGCACAGGCCAATTGTTTCACATTGTATTCTGATAGCAGTCAAATTAAATCATATTGTGAATGACTACACAAAAATATTGGATCTAGGCAAAAAATTGGAATGAAGTATTAAGATCTGCGATGTAAACTTAGCCTGACAGAGCTCTTTGATGCCATTTACACATGTCTACTTTCATGCACATAGGTTGTGAGTATAAAGGTAGTGAAAAACAATACCTAATTTTTAAGAGTTTGAGAGCGTTGAGCAGTACTCCTTTTTTCACATCATAATCAATCTTCTGATCGGTTCCAAAGCTCGGAGCTCGATTGATCTGTCAAAGAAAAGAGAAAAGGTAGACATTAATAGGTTCGGAATTTTATGTCTGTTTTCTTCTTTTAAATTTTCTGCTACACTCTTCAGACAGAAATTGTGTGCAATTTAAGGGAACATATTTAGGGGGTTTGTGGAAAAAAATCTGCTCAAACAAAATGAGGAAAACAGAAGGAAAAGTGGGAAATAGAAATGGAAGACTCTTGTTGTTTCTCTTTCCCTTTGAGAAATACTTTAGAGCAGTTTTGGCCTTTTCTTCTGCATAAACCCTGTTTGGTGCAGATGGAAAAGCCCCTATCCATGTTTGAGCATATAAGTTTGTTTAGGTGACCGAGGTTCAGGCGGCAGAGGGCTCGAAACAGTGGTACAAACATTACAACACTGCCACTAAAAACATTTCTGTAAGCATCAGAGAATTACTGTCGCTCAGCTTGGTTCTGCCATTTAATGCCATTCATCAAAAGTGCTCAGAGAGATTCAGCCACGCAAAAAAGTAAAAAAGACACCTGTGATTTGAGGCACAAAAGCTGGAATCATCCAGGGAATAATTCAAGAGGAGCTTACCTTTCTCAATAGAACAATTCCAAGCATCGGTGCAAAGTATTCACCTGACACAACAAATCAAATCTTTTTCTCTTTGTTGAGTTCCTTTATGTCTCCCTCCCATGGTGAGAAATGGCTGATGTGAGACAACAAAAAGGAGCAACAAAGAAAGAACTGGCAACAGTGATTGGAATGGTGTCTTCCTATGAGGTGACTTCAAATGACAATGCAACAGATGCCCACTGAAAGGCTGGCTTGGCTTGATAAACCTTGATTGTTCAGATAAGTCAGGTCTCCTCCTGGCATCAACCAAAACGCTTAAACCTCCCATTTTCTTTCTTTTTTTATGTAGGAACAATAGCATGGGTGGGTGGCATGATAATATTAGAATTTCAATGGTCTTAATAATGGTGTATTTGTTGAATGAGTTTTTATGTGTCAGTGAAGGAGTGAGTCAGAGTGTCGCCAATGAATGTCTTTATCGCTCAAAAGAATAAGTGACTTTAAAGACAGATAAATCTCTATACAGAAACTTGCCCAATATAGCCACTTTATAACAGATGGTGTTTTTTTTTTCACACATTTGCTGTCAGTGAATCCAACAAAGCAAAAAAAGTCAGATTTTAATCAATAAACTGTTGACTTGATCCTGACAAAAACCTTTTAGTTTGTAAAATCAACTGATTACTCTTGTCACAATAATTTATTGCCTACCTTTCTATGTCCCAACATGATTAAACAAAGTCTTTATCCCAAGATTAATTAACTTATTTTTTCTTACTGTGTTCAAAAAAATACATCACTAGCTTTAACAGAGGCCATTTGTTTTACAGATTTAAATTAGTTTTTGAAGTTCTAGAAGTCCTGCAACTTCCCTGGTAGCCTTAATCTTTTGTCAGACTGAGTTTTAGTAAAACCAAACATAAATTTTTATTCCAATAGCAGAACAGTGCTAAGCTAAACAGGGTTTTACGCGAACTACTAATCAGGGAACATGAGTAAAGCACGATGAAAAGAACAGATAAGAGAACAGACTGGTAAGTAACTTAAGTTATTTAAAATATAAATGATTGTTTCTTGAAAATAGGTGCCAATTTTCTCAAAAGATTTTCTACACAAGTGCTGCTGGAGGATTTTGCAATCATCTTGGTCCATTTTCTCTATTACCTTTGAAGAAGATGTTATGGTGATGATTACCATCATCACCATAACACAAATTTGCTCCCGCTCTATGGAGCTAAATTGGAGTCATACGTTTTGTTCAAAATAAAAAAAAAATTTTTGAAACTGAAAAAAGGAGATTTGAAACTGAAAAACAATGCATTACAATCTTGAAAAGTTTCAAACATCTAAGAACCTGGCTCCTAAGAACCGCTTCAGAGCAGCAAGCTCGGAGTTTCTCCAGTGGTTCTTGGATCAGATCAGAGATCAGATCAGAGCACGCACTCTGAAATGATTTTAACTTTAATCTTCTGTTCTCTGTGGTCTATTGAACATTTCCTGGAAGTGTAATAAACATTCCCTGAACATTTCATAGAAATCCGTTTGGTAATTTTTGAGATATAAGTCAAAGAAGCAACATGGAGCAATTTTGGCCAAACTTGGCCGCAGATCAAGCCCTGTAGGCGGGGACAGGTTGATAGCTGGCTGTGCGGAGCTCCAGCGATTCCTGGATGTCACTCTCATTCCTCCTGGACAACAGAAGTGGAGACGGGATTGGTGGAGTAGCCTAATCCCCGTTGCAGGGCTCCTTTGTCTTTAAAATATGAAAATAAATAAAATAAATCCACCTCGGAGTTCGACGAACCTTCAGGAAGCTACAGCTAACAGAAATTTGAACCAAAGAGCACGGCTTGTTTAATAGTTGGATTTTGGTTGTCTAAGATTAAATAATATATTCCCCTCTCCCGCGTCAAACAGAAATAAAAACACACAATAGTTTCAGGAAATGTTAATCGCAGCAGAGAACAGCTGAAKAAAGTTTCGAAAGTTTGATGAGCAGACCCGGAAAACTCTGCTGTCTGTCAGTTAGCAGCAAAGCCTGGAGCGAGCCCCGGCTACAGCTTAGATCTCCATGCCGCAGATCGAGTGCCTCCCCCGGTCAAAGCGAGTCAGGCAGACCGCCTGGGCTCCACGTCCAGGGGGAGAAGCTAAATCCACTTAAGCCTGAATGCATATTGCCAGGCATACAGATGATAAGTGCCTTCCAACCTACTAGGAGATAAAGGAAGGACAGTCTGCAGACATTTTAGAACTGATAACCTCTAATAAGAGACATTTATTGGACTGAAAACATTTCAATCATAGCTGGTGGTTCCTGAATGCAACACCTTGTCCAGCCTGTGCTGAGCTGTCAATCATGATTTTGCACCGCCTGTCATCCCAGGCCCCACCCCCCATGTTAAATCGGGGTCATAACTCTGAAACTGAAAATAAAAAGTTTTAAACTGAAAAAAATATTTTGAAACTGAAAAAAAATTTGAAACTGAAAAACAATACATTACAATCTGGAAAAGTTTCAAACATCTTGTCTTTTCAGTATCAAATATTTTTTTTTTCAGTTTCAAATATTTTTTTTTCAGTTTCAAAATTATTTTTTCAGTTTCAAAATTGTTTTTCAGCTTCAAAGTTATTTTTCAGATTCAATTTTTTTTCCAGTTTCAAAAAGATTTTTCAGTTTCAAATCTCCTTTTTTCAGTTTCCATTTTTTTTTATTTTGAACAAAACATATGACCCCAATTTAGCTCCATACCACTCTGTTGTGTGCCACATTTGAAAGCAGCATCTTGATCAGACTTTTAACAACTGAGAAAACCAGAGTGTTGACTGTAATGCCAACTGTAGGGTATATAAACCAAAACGAAAGGTACCTACTTTCCATATGGGTCATACGTCAACTAGAAAAACTAAACTAAACCAGACTTCAATTCCCTAGAATTTCATGTTCAAACGTGTGTAGCTGCATGCAAGACATGAGTGCAGAACAGCACACAAGTTAAAGAAACAATTTCCTGAAATAGTCTGTGAAGTATCTAACTTTTCTGGGCTTGTTGGGCCGTCACAGCCACAGGTGAGCTACTAAATCCTTCATAACATGAAGTGAGCTTGTGTGGCTGAGCCTTGGTGGGGGTGTGCAAACCCACATGTGTATTTTTGTGTACAGCAACCATTTATCAGAAGGTGGGTGATGAATGTCTTCCAGTGCAAAGAGAGAAATAGGAACAGAGACCCTATCCAACTCTTTCACTCAATAGAAAGAAATATACAATACGTCCCACTGTGTGTTGAGGACAGAGCTCCACTTCGACCTACTGAGCCTTACCTCTGCTACAAAAGAGAAAAAAAAGGGAAGAGGTCTGTTTTCATTTAGGACTCTCCACAGCTTGACAGGCACAATGAAAAGAGTGCCGCTTTAGAGTGCAGCAGCCAATAGGTAACAGRCATACTGGCAGTGATCCTGGTGACGGTTGTCTCGTTACTTGTCTTCATTTCTTGGTTTGATTTGTGGTGTCAAGCTGTCACAGAATAAACTGGCACTGCGGTATATACAGTATCTTTTTGCCCTTCTTCGTTTTTTTTGTTTTGTTTTTTTTTTCTCTCATTCTGCTCCCTGCCTACTGCACTTTATCTGTTCAACTTCCTTTCTGTTCTTCCTCTCTTCCTTACAGTCTTTTCTGACTGGTCATCGCTGAACTCCCACTCTTCCCTGCTTCGTTTGCTGTAGCCCTGATTCTCTGGTTGTTACCTCTCTCCTCATTTCTCTCTCCATGAATCTGTGCTCTCCTTTTCCTCCCTGGCAGAGGAAGTTGGACCAGTCTGTTCTTAATGAACCCCTGCAGGCTCCCAAAACCCCCCACTCTGATTTCCTTAAGTGACTCTGGCAGGGGTTTAAAAGAGCCCTTGGTTGCTTTAAGACGCATTCAATAAAAATGTCAGATGAAAAGATTAGAACATTCTTTTTACTTATTCTTTAATTTGGTTTAGTTTCACATCAGTACAGCCAAGCTATCGCTCGGTCAAAAAGCCAAATATGAAGATGACTTTATAATTTTTCACAGGGCATATATTTCCTCACCTGATGATCCAACGAAATCTATGAACATCAAAGTTTAATAATGTGTGTGTGTTGTCTTTTACTATTATTGCATTGTAGAAATGTCCCATAGTGAAGCAAATGTCTTCGTTTCAATGCCACTGTTTTTGCAAATAAGTATGTTAAAATGTATCAATAAAACATCCCTACAAAACTATCTGAACTTTACAAATTGCAGCATGTAAAAATTTAAACAAAATAAAATGTGTATTTGCATACTCACACGCACAAATAATATATGACGTAACTAAATTTGGGACATGATCAGAAACATAAAGAGGTGCATACAAAGACCTTAAGATAAGCATATAATACCACACAAGAAATTACACACAATGAAATAATGTGCAGCTTTTACAAGTTGT